GCCTGCGAGGCAGCCGAGCACGACACGCTTTCTGCTTGCATCGCTCCCTCCTCTCCACCGTCTGTCCCTCGGCTGCAGCTCCCGCCCAGCCTGTTGCAGAGACTGGAGGCCCCCATCCTCCTTCCCCAGCCTCCTTGTCGCCGTGTCCCCAGGGTTAAGCTCAGCCCTCCCCAGAGGATGTCTTCCGCACAGGCAAATCTTCAGCAACACCCACGTTCCCCTCTGCCCTGAGCTAAGCTAAGCTCAGCCCAGTGTTGGTGGTTCAGCTGGGATTTTTGGACCCAGTCCTCCTTCTTACCCCCAGACTTAGGGTCCCTGGGTAGGTTTCTGCAGTTCCCAGGTGTTTGGGTGCCGTGCACCCCTCGGCTCTCCCACACCTCCGTGCTTGCCTGGGGCTGGCTCCGCTCCTGCCGCTGCCTGCCGGCTCGGCCAGGGGCCCTGGGGCTCGCTCTGCGCTCAGGGTGCTGCTGCTAACCGGGCTCCGTACCGTGACCAGAGCCCGGCTGAAATCCCAGGGGCCATGTTGGGTTCCCTAGTGAGGGGTCTCCTCCCAAAGGCAATGAAAGATATCCCCAAAATCCAGGAAAGAGGGGACACCCTGCCTGCCTTGCAGGGGCTCTGCGACTGCTGAAATTGCTGCATGGGGGCAGAGCTCTGATCTGAAAAATATAAAGTAGAAGCGCAAAAGCTTCCATTTGCAAATGCACACTGTTTTTTTTGGTATCTTAATGGCTCTGTCGAGGAGCTCGCCAGCCCTGCACGCTGCTCGCCTTTGTGGGGACTCTGAGTGAGCCATTAACAGCACTGAACTGCAAGTAATAGGAGTAGAAACCGCCTTTATCTTTCAATCTCCTTTGCTTTGTAAATCAGGTTTTGTGCCTATTAATTTCTGGGCAGGTGCCTTAATTAAAGTTTGGGGTGTGAAGATTAATGATAAATCTGTGTCACGCTCCTTTCTCCTGGGAGTCAGCCAGATTCAGCCTGCCCTTGACTATGAGCTTGCTAAGGCGCTCTCACAGCAGCTCGGAGAATTTCCTCGGCATTTTGGTCCTTTGTTCTCCTCTCCCCACAGCCTCTGTGGAGTTACACACCGATAATTAAGGTTTATGCAAACGACAGTCACCTCAGTTACCAGCCAGCTCTAATAAGTTGGTTTGAACAAGAACGCGGCAGCAGAAATTTCAAGGGGATGAGCATTTCAAAAGGGCTGCGACACAGGAAGGGGATTTTTCCTTCTGCGTGTCGGTAATAAAATCAGGGCCACCGGGGAACGCTCTTCGGGGCTGCCATTTCCATAGTCACCTCGAGGGCCTGCATCCCGTCATCCTCGGTTTCTATGGAAATGGGCAGCCACCTGGTATTGTGTAGGGTCAGCGGTGCCTCCCCGGCTTCTCCTCCAAGGGCCAGGGCCAGCTCGCTGCTGGCCAACACGCACTGGCAAAACACCCCAACTCGCATGGCCTCAGCACCCCGGGCTTGGCCCAGCCCCCCCCCAGTCCTTTTCATCGCATTCAAACAAAGAAACGCCAACAGCTTTTGTAAATAGCTTTTATAAATCCTTGTGCGTGAACACAGAGCTTCAACAGTAAGCCTGAATTATTTATTTGGCTCCTTAAACAAACACCCAGGCAGGTTTTTAACATCAGTCTTTGTGTTAGGGAGGAATCCAGGTAGAATTGCAAGAACAAACTGTCTTGCAGCAAATTTGTGGCAGAGGGTTGGCCTTG